CCATCGAATGCCCCCGATATGGCTCCCTGCGATTTTTTTCTGTTCGATCGAGTCAAAAAACCACTGCGGGGAACGCGTTTTGACAGCCGAAAGGAGGTAATGGAAAAATCGAAGATGGCTCTGATGGCTATACCAATAATAGAGTTCCAGAACTGTTTCGAGAGCTGGATCAAGCGCTGGCATAAGTGCGTTGCAGTCGCTGGAGAGTACTTTGAAGGGGACAATATCACTTTTGATGAATAAACTTGTATTTTGAATTTTCTGAATGAATTCCGGAAACTTTTTGATCAAGCTAGTATACGCACGCAATTAAAGAATAAAACATCTTAATACTTAGACCGTAGTGGCGCTTCGGATTGTAATGTTATTTAAAGAATAAAATTTTATAATTACATTATATAGATCAAACAATTATGTTATGAATTAAAATAACAGGAATGTAATGAAAATATATAAGAAGAAAATATATATACTTTTATACTTACATACATTCATATACGAGTACATATACAATTTTATAAGTGTAGCATATCCAAACGCAATTCAAACTTCGAGAAAGATAGATAAAAAAATGTTCACATCACCATTCACCATCACATCCACCATTCAGATCACATCCACCATTGCAATCAAGACCTAAGTTTTCTTTTCAATTCCACTTACATATATTACTCACATGTATAATGTAGAAAAACCCAAAAGTAAAACAAGTTATTAAAAAATGTCACTTAAACTCATTTTTGGAGCCGCGGAGACTTTAAATCTATTTTTCTAACAAATATCAAATTTTCAAAGCGGATGGTACACATTTTAATTAGAAATAAAAGGTAGAATATTATAACTAGCCGTCACTTTTTCAAAATTGGACATCTAGATAACTAATTCCCTTGTAAATAAAAAAGTCTTGTATCATTTTACAATTTTCGCAATAGTTAATGAGATATTAGTATCTAAAAGTCGGTAAATAACACTGGCTACCGCCAATACAAGCGCGACGTGGTACAATAGAGTCTCTCTAAATTTAATTTCTGTAATCTTTGCATTCCTTACACATATTAATTTTACAAACACTAATGTCGTACCCCTTCCATGTCATGATAGGCTGAACATGTGTTGCATTAATTATACTAGATTCTCACAATGTATTCCATAGGCAGGTTATGTATAACTATTTGTGTAATGTATTCTTTTGTGATACATAATATGTGATACATATGATACTTGTCCTGCTAAAGTTTTGTACACTATAGTGCACTTTGACAGGTGCGCAACTGTGTTCGCGCAAATAAGGGAAAGTGAAGGAACTGTGCACACCTAAGGGAAATTTATTGCCCTGGAATGGTTTTCCAAGTTTAAAGCGATATAAGTGTGAAAATAGAAATATATAAATATTCTTCTACCATTACGTATCCTTATATCGAACAGATTTTCATTCAATAAGATTATATTTAATCAAAAGGAAAAAACGGAAAAGCGAAAAAATTTCTCGCGCTTCGGATAATTATGCGCGTGTGTTGGATAATTGTGCACAAAACAAAAGTTGTAAGAAATGAATGAATTGTGGAATGTTGACAAAGAAATCAGAAAATACATTCATTGCAATATAAATATATTAGGTGTAGTAAAAAGAAATCCATTATTTTT